AATAGTTTATGTAAAAATCATTTTTTGAAAAAATGAAATTAACAATCGCTACATGTTCAGAAAAATCACAAAAATTTCCTACAATTATAGAAATCTCTGGAAAACAATCATATATGAAAAGTATAATATCTATTATCCAGAAAGACAGCACTTGACTTTTTCTAAACAACCTTTATCCGAAGAAAAAACCTTAAAGGAATATGGTATCAAAGAGTATGACAAATCTTTTTCAAGGATTTGGGTATGAATTATATAAATAAATCTACTGGATCATTTACATAATGTGCAAAATAATTTATTTATATCCTTTTAATAAAGGTCCTCAAATGTGTTGGCGATCAGTGTTCGTGATAGAATATTTGGGCCCGTTAATCATTCATCCAATCTTTTATAATTTTGATTCAATAATTTTATAGTCAAATTAAACGGGTAATATTTTTTCATCGTCCGTTTTTAAATCATCTTAAAGATGGTAAATCCGGATTACACTCGTTCCTATATGCTACTTTCTCAAAAAAAAAATCATTTGATTGATTTTATTTACTAAATGTAAAAAATAATTGATTTTTTCTTTGAAATGGCGAATTGACGAATTAAAATGACATTTAAGAAGGTTGGCGGATTTGTGTTATAGAGAAGTGCTTACCAATCATTACGGCACATATGTTATTATATTATATATACTGTATATACATAATAGAAGGCATTTCTCATTATTTTCGTTATTTTTACGATTTATAGAAATGAAAGAAGGTACAGCGTCAATAGAACATCTTGAGTCTATACAGATTTATACATCATCTTCAAATTCAAATGATAATACATCATTGTTATCAATTCAAACAACGTCCATTGAATCTACCATTATTCCTTCATCACCAATACCAACTCAAAACCAAAACTAGAATCAACAACCAATAGCGGTACTTCTATAATATGATTTTACTACCTGGTCACGACGAGGTAACAAATAGCATTCATCCTTTATTATTATTTTTTGTTTAATATTATTACTATTATTATCATTCTTATTTAACGGTGAAAGTTGAATTTGCTAATCCATTATATTTGTTAAGCGCAAGAAGGAAACCTTTTCTATTATTGGGTAGTTTCAATATCAATTTCACATGAAAAGAGTTAATTTTCCATTAATTGTTAAAAAATGTTTGAAATTTATTGTGTAACAATCACGACATTCGAACACCTTATGTATGCGGTTGACCGCTTAGAATATACTTGTTATTATTATATATACAAAAATGATGTTATTGCACGAGACTTGGGTGAAAATATAGTGAGCACGTAAGTTTTTAATCTGTAGGTTTGCGGTATATAAATTTCTAGTTCCAATTGATCATTAGTCTTGATGTTTTTTATTTTATTTAAGCATAGCACCATACAAAAAATTAATAATATATTGAATGAAATTTATACTATATAGGTCTAAAAAAAATTGTATAGGTAGGATCCACCTCTATTTTTTGTATTATTAAAAAAGAAGAATGTGAAAGTGAAATATTGCAGCTCTGTATTTTTCCATTTTCTTTTAATAAAAAATAATTTTTTTTATAATTAAGAATGTTGTTTAATGCTTCTATTCGTTTTTATATATTTGAATATCCAGAATACTTTTAAATTTTTGACTTAAATTGATAAAATTTCCTAATAAAAACGACATCAGTAAACAAATTTAACATCTATTAAATTTTAAATTTCGAATAATAAATAAAATACGATAAAAAGTAAACATAATAATAACAAATAGATAATAATTAACAGCCAAATAAATAAAATATCAAGATTATGAACGTGTTTTTTTATGTAACTAAAAAATAAACGGGATTAATTTCTCTCTTAAAAAAAAAAAAAACTGGTTAATTATACTTCTAATTTAACCCTTTAAAAAAATACACCAAAGAAATAAAAAATATAAATCAATAATTATAAATTATAAATTATACATACATATATATATAATCTTAATTATTCCTTGGAAGCCAGGAAGCGTTGTCAAGTTGTGTCCAATAATGGTACTTGAATGGAATTAATATGGCCATAATTGGGATAAAATGGGTAAACGAATTAATATTAATTAATATCAATTATGAATCAATATAATGCTGCCGGTATCTCTATTTAATCTGTTTGTCTTGAAACCTTTCTGTATTGTTGGTACTGTACAGCCGTTTATAAGCAAAATTACATAAGATTGTCAAATTGATAAATATCTAATATTAAAAATTTTTTTATTATACATACACACTAATTAAAAAAAAAAATCAATAAATTTTATCTAATAATTTGACAACTTGAAAAAAAAAAGTCTATCGCTACAATCTAAGTTTATTCTCATCATCATTGTAGCTAAAATTTTTTTTTGTTATATATAAATCTATCATTTTTTTACCTCTCCACCTATTTTGCAACCTCCTTTTTTTAAAAAAATTTCCAATCCAAGTTACTCTTTTCCTTTGGATCATACGTATAATATCATTACTGGACATTCCATAAATTATATATTACCAAGTATCCTTAGGGATTTCATATATATATATATATATATACAATTAGGATTTAAGACTAATAAAAACCTTTATACTGCCTTCTTCAAAGTTAATATCATTATTCAATTAGTCAAATGACTTTTGTCTTTATTATACAACCATGTATCATAATGATATTGTCTTTATATAAATCAGTAAAGTAAATGTCATTAGAAGCATTAAATATCAGATTGTATTCTTTTTTTAATTCATGAAACCATATTTTTTTGTCAGAATCCATATTGTTCAATTGACTATTGTTATGACTGCGATTCTTGTTGTCGCCATCTTTTTTTGCTTCTTCATATTGGTGTGTTATTGGCTCGATGTTGAATACTCTTGGTAAAAAAATATCAAAAAAAGGTTTCAACGTAGTGGCCTCATTTGATTTTCTCAACAGTTGTAAATGGAAGGTCTCGAATGGTACATGGTGTTTGCAATAATCATTATAGGTCGAAAGAATTTTTTCGGCAAAATTTTTAATTATAGCTGGGGTTTTCTTAGAATGATAAGGCTTTGATTCTATGTCAATCCATACTTTGGACAAGATAATATCATGGAAACATAGTCTTGTAATTATTGAATTTGCATTGAAATTTATTAATATCCAATTATATAGAGAGCTTCTTAAAGTAAGTGTCCTTGTACGATTTATTGGGTTTTCAATATTTGAATTTATAAACTGGTTGATGTTATCATATAGTAAATTTTGACAATTAATAAAATAGTCATCGTTAACTTCTTCCTCTATAGATGATGAAGTATCTTTATCATCTTTCGTGATGAAATTATTGTCTACAGAGTTCTGACAAATGGGATTATTTTCTACAGAGTTCTGATGAACGGATTTATTGTCTACAGAATTTTGACGAATGGAATTATTGTCTAGAGGTTTTTTACGAATGTAAGTATTATCTCCAGTGGTTTGATGATTGAAATTATTGTCTTTAGTGTTTTGAATTTTAATATTGTTGCTGTTGGATGAAGAAGATAACGAAATCTCTTCTTTTTTCTCTAAATCGTCAAATTTTCCCTTAGTCTCTGTATCAAAATCAAACAAATGACAAACGATCGTTTTCAAAAATACAGAATCTAATCCACGTCCATTTTTATCGCGCCTCAAAAAATCCAAAACTTTGCTCTTTACTTCTCTGTCAGCTTGGGTCATCTCAATCAAGCATTTCTGAATTATGTCAATTTTTGGTTCATTTCTAACCTCGCAAAAAGATTCTAACATAATAGAATCGCCAATCGTATCAAGTCGATTTTCGCAAAAGCATAAAATGTTAACCATCGCAGCTTTCGTTAATTTGAAACCAACCCTAATGAGATCACGCAATTGATTTACAACTATTTTTTTACTCGGGTCATTCCAGCCAACAGGAGTGTTTAATGGAAAAAGCCTTAGAATGCAGCCTTGAATAACCAAATCGTTAACATCTCTACAAATGTCATAGTAGCCTATCTCTTTCCACATGTCTATAATACTATTTTCTAATAAAATTGCTCTTGCAATAATATGAAGATGTCGATTGTTCTCGTAGCCATCTTTTGCTGGAAACTCTTCCTTATTAATGATCTGCATTGTTCTAAAATATTCACTTGTGTCCTCAAATTTAATTTTTGGCCTTGGAGAAAACGGCGTGAATTTTTGATTGACAATAAGATCACGAATTTCATCCAAGTTTTCTTTAATTACCCGAGCTGCTTGGTCAATAGGAAGCTGCCCCGAGCTTAAAAAATGAAACTTTTCAATATCATTCCCTTTTAGAGGCAAATTTGGTCCAAATCTTGCTTCGGCTTCGTTTAACAAAGCAATAAACACATCGAATGATATCTCCGATGACCACGGAGTCTTTATACTGTTTTGAAAAGCTTTGAAGTTTTCTCTATCTGTTTCTTGAGAATTACTATTATTGTCTTGTAATTTTAATTTAATCAATTCTTCATCATATTTTCCGTATTGTAGTAATAGTCTTTGTACGAAATATCTAGATAGATTTGCTTTTAATGCTAGTAAAGAATTTAGAACATCGACTGTAATAAAAGTTTTTCCCAGTAATATAGAGTAAAACAACACGTGAATGCGGCCGAATTTAGATAATGCCCACAGCGATTTTGCCACGGGACTAGTATACAGCCTATGAAATTCTTTACTAACAAGGATAAGCGAAATTGGGGTATCGATATACTTGAATATTTCTATAAGTAGTTCACTAGGAAGATTTTCCATATTGAAAATAAAAAAAGAAAGTTTACATTTTTTGTCATTTTTAGGGCTGTTTATATATTTTTTTTCTAAATAGTAATACTAATTGGTTATTGTTATGATAAATGACGTGATGTAAACATTTTCCCAAAAAAAAATTGTTCCTATACTACCGAATATGCACAACCATTTGGAATAAATATAAACGGGAAATAAAAATGGTCATTACTACTATGAAGTCATTATAAAAAGACAAACCAATAAACCTACAAAAAAATATGCAATAAATAGCACCAATGAAGATTAGTTTACTCCTAACTATTTTCAAAGTATAGATGATATATATCTATAAGAGAAACCACGTGTTTTTCCAATGTATAGAATAATAATTAAGATATTAATATGTTCATTAAAAACAATCATAATTTTTTATTGTTTTGAAAAATTCCATTTTTATATAGGTGTATAATAATACAAAAAATAACGGTATATTTAGAATTATTCAAAATCGTTTAACTAAAATGAAAAATTCCAAATATAATAGAAAAGAGATTCAAAATGATGACGAATCAATAATATTTTGATTGTGATGATGATTATTAAAAAAACGAAAGTTTTTTTCATTTGATAAAAGTTCAAGTCAAAAAAAATTGCTTGCCAAAACCTATGCGTAAATATATTATAAAAAAATAACTTTTATATGAATAGCTTGAGGTCTTGGTTATATCTTGGTATCCAAAAAGAAATAATAAAATAAAGAGGGGTTGTGTTACCAAGTGACCAAGCAAGTTTTATTTACAATAATTGAGCAACAGACTCTGAGCTAACGCACTCAAAATATGAGTATCCTCCACTTTAGTGGGTCATTCCACACACAATATGATCAGTTCCGTTACTGGATTTTTAAAGTAAAGTAAGTAGACTTGCTTTGTGATAATAGCAGTGTTAGTTACAAGTTTTGTGATAATATTATTAATGGTTGCGTTGTGAAAAAAATTGACAAGGAATCAAAAGAGTATGTCTTTATAACAATAAGGCAAACGGGCAACGCGACAGACAAATTTCCAATTTTGAGAAAATTAAAATGTTAATCTGCCGCCAAACATAGATGAGATATTTATAAGTGTGACTACAAGATTATATACGCCAGATTAGATATGGAAACAATTAGCCGCAATTCAATTTTCATCCACGGCCGCAATCAATCGCAAAGCCATTTTCAGCCCAAATGATTTATTATCATTCATTTTAGGTAGGTGAATGGATAATATTATTTTTCTTTTTAAAAAGTTCATTTGGTATCAAGTGATGGATGAACTTTTTCTTTTAAAAAATTCATTTGGATGGATGATGAGTTTTTATTAATAATAAATAGTTTACTCATACATTTAATTTTCAACTTTTATTTATAAATTAAAAATAATAATACTTCAATCACAGAATTAATTTAATTCTTCTTAAAAAAAATTAAAAACAAATCTAGTTAATAACCAACCATTCATGATCAATCATTGGATATGTGGATAACACGATAAATAAGATGCTCGTCTTTTCAATTTTTTAATTTTAACGAATTTCCCAATTATTGACATGGTACTATTTTCATGTATTTCTTGTATCATTGTCTCTGAATTTGTTCTAAATGCCTTGAAATTAGACCCGGAAATTCATCATGATCAAGTTTGCAAGCAGCTATTTCAGTCAATGAATTGCCCCGTCTATAAATCGATTTCATATTTGCTCATTTATTTATTTAATTTAATTACAGGGTGCTGATTTTGGAATTAATTATCGCAGGTAGAATTTTACTATTATTCAGTTAAAAAAAAGCAGTTTGCATTTATTTTATGTTTAAGGAATCTATTGGACCATTATGAATCGGTAAATTTGGACTAAATATTTATAAATATTAGTTCAAAACAAATCATTTTAGTCGTTGAACTTTCTGTACCACAACGCCAATTTGAAGGAAAAAAATTTTTAATCAAGAACTTGCATAAAATGAACTTGCAATATTTAATGAATCCAAAAAAAAGAAATAAGACGCCGAGAAATGCTCATATTAATATATATGAAGAGCACAAACAATGCATCAAACAGTAGTTGTTGTGAGAAAGCATTATTATTATATCAACATGAAACAATAACATTGAGTAGCAACAAACAGTAAATGGCGACAACGAAACATCATAATAAAGATTAGGCTTCGATTTCACTCCATGGAAATATTGCAACAAGTCTTTCAATAAACGAATAAACTTTTACCTATCAAGCTGTTAAACCTTATCATTCATTATCATTCCTTATTATTCGGTGTCTTCGACATATCACGTCACGAATACACGAATAGACCATAATGCACCTGGTTTAATGCGACTATTAAATTTGATGATTTTGTTAATTCGTAGAGGAGTGCGTGGATGCGGTGCTAACCAAATATGGAAATTGATGTGAGTCCACATTTGGTTTAGCGCCCGCACCTACCATACCATTGGCTTACCAAAAATGGTATTTGATCTAATTGAGCTCCAATAATCAGACCTAAAAAAAAATGCGATAAAAATTTTTTGGTCATATGCTCTATTCATCCCATAATTGGAAAGCTTGGTAACAATAACAATATCTAAATAAAAAATATATTTTTGGTACTGTTGTACGTGAAAATGAAATTATGTGAATTCGCAATTCACATACAACAGTACTAGGTGGGAGATACGTTTTGCACTCAACACAATAGTCTATTTTATTAAATTTGAAATAAATGAATTTTATATAAAGAATAAATTCTTTTTCCATTCGTAGGCCCTTGAATAATTCTAATAGAAGTGATAGGTCCTTAAGTAGGTAAAAGTTCACACATGTGGTGTGACTATTTATGAGTATGAAAAAAAATCAATTATTATGAAAATTCCGAGTAAAATTTTTAAAGGCCATATGACATTATGGTTAAAGGATCCAATAACGAAATTGGCTAATTAAAAGGAATTTTGCATCCAAACACTTCGTGTTTGTTTTGATTGGTGCAAAATTATAATTATTATTACTTTTTTAATAAATGTTAAAGTTTATTATTATTATGTTAGAAATACAAACCATTACTTGTACAAACGTTAATCTTTTAAATCCAATGAAAAATGTTGGTATGCTATAATTTATATTGGTGGGAAAATTTTAATAGCAAAAATCATAGCTATGTATAGAAAAATTTCAAATTAACCATTCATATTAATGAGGATGCACCGTTATATATTGCCGCGAGTGTTTTTCTTTTACAGTATTGTTTGTTTACTTCTGTAGATTCACAGATTCAATATATTTGCTCACATAATATTTTGCTCTGGGTTTATTTGTCAGATTCTGAACAGGATTATTAAAGGAAAAACAAGATTTATTTGTTTATTTTGATAATAAAATTATAGAAATAAAATTTCCTTATTATTATGTCATACGAAAAATCAGGTAGAAAATTTTTAGATGAGGTGCTTTAAATGGGCAAATAAATCACTATTGGATAGATTTTCATGGGGAAAAGTTTCAAACTTTATTTTGTTTTAATTCCTTTATTTTGATATTAACTTTTTCGCGTGTAACGCGTTAATTTTAGGACTGAACATAGTGTGCTCAAATTCTCCACAGCAACATGCATGGCATATCAACGGGGTAAGGTCGTAACTTTGTAGAGAAAGGCCTTGGGCAAATATTTTTGGTATTACATAGGATTTGAGGATCTACATGACCAATAAAAAGTTGCAGGACTAAGTGACTTGCACTCATATTAATATTAGTCTGACATTTTATCCCCTCCCGTGTTCGTAGAGGTAAAGCTTCAGCCTGGCGAGGATAAACGCAAAGGTATCTCTGATCAGCTGGTTTGTCGATCTTAAATTATTCCGACCAATATCTAAGAGCGATAATAATAAAGATGTAACCAGAAATTGCCTGTATGGGCTGAAGATGATAATAATAATGATAATAATTAATAAGTAATAATAATAAGAGATTTTTCGCCGTCTTGTTTATATCAAGTAAAGCCATATAAACTTTTTAATCTTTTGTTTTTGATTAAAAAAAACATTAAATATTTTGTACAATGACTTGAAGCAAGGATTGACAAGTATTCCAATACTTATCGTTGCTAGATGAATTATTATGAGCCTTATCAATTATTTCAAAGATCGACAATAAAAAAATGTATAAACATTCTTTGATTTTGGAAAACTTTGATAATGAAAAGAATGATTGTGATAAAGTAAAAAATATTATAGCCAAATAACTTGATTTTGTCGTTGTTGAACTGGTTACAAAAGATTTCTATAAAAATATAGTGAAGAAAAAAATTTATAAATGCACACTTGTGTAAAAATAAAAAATTTAAAATAAACACAAACCTTTATTATTTTTATTATACTTTGTACAACTCTTAATCCATTAATTGTTTCGAATGATGATGAACCTTTTGATTGATCATCATCATCATTATCAACTTTATTCGATTTTTTTCTGATTGCTGGTTTGTCCAAAATAAGATTTAGAGCTGATAGGATATTAATCAATGAATATCTAACACAACATAGAGATGTTCTTTCTAAATATATGATCAATAAAATAAAATAATTAAATAAAGTTTATAATTATCTTAAACAAAGTTTTTGATAAGGAACCTTCAATATCTATTTCTGAAATGGCCATTTCAAATAACTCTTTATTATTATTATTTTCATCAATTAACAATTCAGATGCTGATATTATTCCATAAACTATCAATTTTCTTATCATAGTATCTAATAAAACATAGGCTTCTTCCTCAACACTATTTGCAAGCACATAACAAAATGCCAATGGTGCTACTTTTCTAAAAAGATTACGTAAATATGGTTTTGAAGCATTCTGATTATTATTTAATGCCTTATGATGGTAGTATGTTATTATCATTAATTAGAATTACGAGAGAGATTATAATAATATATGAAAATGTTATTATTAAAAAAGAATTTTTGCATACCAACACAAATTTCTCACACCAATAAGAGGAAACTTGACAAGCCTCTAAAAATAAAATCAACTGCTTCATCTTTTTAACTTGATTTGATAAAGTCACGCCAGATTTCTTTACATTATCCTCATCAGATGGTGATTCAGTGTATTCTTTATCTGAAAAATTACAAAATGAAAAAAGTAGTGATGGTATTGCGGGTTTTGATATATCAAAACCAAAGCATGATGAACAAATTTCAAAGAATTGATATAGATAAAGTTGAGTTGCCCAATCTATGTTTATTATTGTTATAATTTTTGTTAGTCATATAATATTAATAAACAAATCGAGGTTTAAACTTACTATAATCCTTGGAATCTTTATATAATTCTTTAATCGAATTAACGTTAGAACGATGGTACTCTAATAAAATATATTTAATAAGTTAATTAACGCAACAATGATTTAAAACACATTGTTAAAATACAGACCATTTTGATCGTAATCTTGTGGTAATGAAATGAAATACTCTGTCAATAATCTTAACAACTCTTTCAGTAAGAAATGAATATCATCAACAAGTGTTATAGATATTGATGGTGACGATGACAATAATAATTTACGTTGATCAAATAATCTAATTAAATGATTTAACAATAAAAGAGGTTCTGCCCTAATCAACCACCAACTTTCACCTAATATTTTTATAAAATCTGTTGTTGTTGTTGTTGTTGCTGCTGTTGTTGTTGTTGCAGAAGGAGAAAAAAACAATAATGATTTAAGTGTGGTAATTGATAAAGTCAAAGAATATTTTCTTTTACTGATTTGTGATGACAATATGGGATTGGAAAATTGTAAATAGGGCAGTACACAATATCTGATATATTCAAGTAAATCTATGATTACTATAACATCATCTTTGCTTTTACTATTAATACTACTCCATTCACCAATTTCACCAATTTTTAATTCAATTGCAGGTTTTTTTAAATTCTTTTTATTCATCGTTGCTTGAATAATAAAGTCAATCAAATTCTTTTGTTCTTGATGCGTCAAACCATCTTCACTTTCATCAATTGTTGATAAAATATCTTTCAACACTTGAATAATAATAGCTGGAGATCTTGATGCTTGGTTATACCAACACAAAGATCCAAGTTGATTTATGATATCAAGTATTACAATGCCTTGTCCTTTATTATGTATAACCTCACCAATCAATCTATGTAATGTATAATATGGGGACACAACTGATGTCTTTTTATGAAAAATAATAAAAAATCTATTTAATAAATAAATTTATTATTAATATCTATATAACGGTTAATTTAATTAAACCTTGAAAGCGTCTTACAATGATCAAAGAATCAACCATTTTAGCTTGAATATTATCTGCTTTATCGATTATTTCTTTGGATTTTGATGTGGCAATCAATTGATTGCAAATTATAGTAAGTTGATCATCTAAAGAAAATGGCCAAAATTTCTCTGATCCAAATGTTGGTGATTTAATATTCATTGAAGAAGGTCTAAGTATCGATTGTATTAATTGAAAATGAAATTAATAATATCCTCAATAATTAAATAAAAATTTATAATATTAAAATATATATTACCGATCAGATATTATATAATCTCGAAATATACATTTCATATGATGTGATAAAAAATCAAAACCTTTGAGCAATATGTTAATTTCTTTCTAATGCGCATATATATATGTGTGTGTGTATGTATTTAATAAAAATTTAATATTAATATAATATTTTAACAAAAACTTTATGATCATGATTTTAATAAACTATTACCATCACTGAAATATTTCCTTGAGAACTTGACCTTTTAGCTAATCTTTTTATACTTTGATATAATTCGATTAGTAAACCATGTTCAACTATTAACTTCGAAAGCAATTCAATATCAATATCAATTCTAAAAAAAAATTATTTAAATAAATAAATGAATGAATTGAATAAAATAATAATGTTACTCGAAATCGATAAAAAGGGACTGAGAGACACCAAAATTGTCAATAGTGCAAATTGTAAGTATAAAGTTTTGTGATATTTCGAAATTTTGAGACGATCTTTGAATTTGAAATCGAAATGTTTTTAAGATCGAATGGTTTTATTGCAAAAACAATTAATAGTAGTGAATATGACAACCGCCCTATAAAACGTTAAATATAAAACGTACTCCTAAATAGAAATGTAGGGATCTTAAATTTGCATTTAATATTAAAAAAATAAGGATGTATGCAAATTTCATAACTCATATAAATATTTTTGTTTACATGTTTTTCACTAAGAAAAAACCAAATAAATTTAAAGAAAAATAAAAAGTAAATAATAAATTTATTTATGATTCAACAACACAAACTATTACTACTTGAGACAACTGCTTGAAGAAACATGACTTTTGAAGATGTAGGTGTTTTAAATAAATCGTTAAATAATAAATTTAATTGAAAACAACCACGACTAAAGCCTTTGGAGCGTCGTAATTTAGCAATATATCATCATCATAATTGTCTTTGTGTCGTTAAATCTATTATTGTTATTTATTATTACTTATATTTTTGATTTCTTTCTTCAAAAAAAAAAACACAGATCCGTTACGCGACCATATAAAGAAAAAAAAAAATAATTAAATCAAAATATTCTAGTTGATATTATTGTAATAAGACTACTATTAACATACTTTTATTCTTTGGATGGATCTATGATCGAAAAAGAATTGTACGCAACTCCAAATCATTATTTTCTAGAAGGATAAAATTAATAATAATTATATCAAAGAAATCTATCTATTTTTAAAAACATGAGCAAAAATCAATGTTCACCAGAAGAAAAGGAAGAAATAATGGATTTCTTTTACAAGTTATTTTGGGCGCAGATCTTCTTCCTTTAACAATAGTCGAGGATTTTTATTACTTGCATATTTTCACCATCTAGGAAAAGGTTGACACAAACATCGTTAAATGATCAATACAATAAAATTACGTAAATTGTCATAGATGGTAATCCATGATTGTTTTTACCGTGGTAAAAACCATCACTATGTGAGAATTGCATCAGGCTTGTA